AAACAAACACACACACACACACACACACACAACTAAGGCAGCTTTGACAGCAGCCTAACCCATATTACGTACATTGTTGTATTTTTATTTTATTTTATTTTAAATGCCTGCCTTGTTAGACCCTTGTGAGAACTGCTGTCTACACAGGGAAACTGAAAGAGGCTGTAGACACTTCTCAGGTGATATCACAGTTTAGCAGCATGCCAATGTCATGAGTGCTCTGATGCTGCTAGAATGACTCATGTTTGACACATTTCAACAATACTTTGCCCTTCTTTAGCATCTTACTCAGGGCATCAAAGAGGTAAGATCCTGAACAAGCTGGTGAGCATCTTCAACCCCCATCAACTCAGCACCTCACAAGGGTACCCTGTTCCTTGGAAGATTGGGCCCAGAGTGATTTACAAATATTGATCAGTCTTTGCAACCCTCTGTGAGGCGGACAGATGCTATTATGTCCATTTTACAGATGGTTAAACTGAGGCACAGAGTTTAAGGAACTTGCTGTAGTTCACACAAGTCCATGGCATAGCAGGGAAAAGAATCCATGAGTTCTGACTTCCAGCCCTGTGTTTTAATTATTAGACCACCCTGCTTTCCAGAAACCACTGGCTCCTGGTTACCTGTACATGCCCATCAAGGGAAGAACAGATTTCTCATGACCTTGTGAAAGGGGCAATGAAAGAGTCTGCTGGGCATTATTCAGTACAAAATTCATACAGCCTAATCATCTCTTGAATTTTTTTTTTTTTGTCAGAAAAACAATGAGGTCTAGCAATTCCACGGTCCGTACCTTGAATGAGGACTCAAATTTCATCGGGGATTAGGAAAACTATCTATCGCAACATTTTCAATGGAAAACATATCCTGTTAGTAAAAAAAAAAAAAGTTGTTCCAATAAATTTCATCCCACCGTTTTCACACAAACAATGTTTAAAATAACGACACACGCACAAGTGGAAAACTACAGAGGCTTCTCTTTTGCTTATTCTCCCCCACAAAATTTGGCACAGCAAGACTCCGACGCTCCAAACTATAAAGCCAGATGGCCTTTGAAATCCCTTTTCAGCAGAGACAACGATGCCCCTCTCTCGCAGACTCTGCTGCTCTTCTCCTTAATGCATCTTTGCAAGACAGAATTAATTTGTTTTCATTAACTCCTTATCAAGTTACCTGGTTTTGAGTCCACGCTCAAAATGTATTTAAAAAAAAAAAAACAGTGGTAGGTTTTCAGGAAATAGCAAGTTCTTTTTCACTAAGATAGAAATCATTTGGCAAGCAACAGTGAAATACTTCTGGTTTCCAGTAGAAGAGGGGGGAAGGAAGTTTTAAAAGAAAAATCAAACCTTACATTTGAAAACTCCTCTGTTTGAAGCCGATTTTTTCCTGTACTATCAGGGTTTGTCCCCAAGAAGGTAGGTGATATCCTGGCCGTGTGTTTATGAAATGAAGTGATTAAGATAGGGGACTTTAAAGTCCCACACGTAATAATGACAGATGTTTAGATAGCATCCCGTAGCCAGAGATCCTAGGCACTGGTTCAGCAAGCACTTAAGTACATGCTTAACTTTGACTTCTGTGGAACTTAAGCATGTGCTTAAATCTATCCCTGTTCAGCAAAGCACTTATACACATGCTTAAGTACTTTTCTGAATAAAAGCCCTCAACAAACTGATTACATACAAAAAACTGTGGATCTGAGTTATCCTACTGCAGCATAAAACTGCAGGTTACTGCAGCATAAAACTGAAGCAAAGTGATCGTGAATTAGGCCCACTATACCCGGGGATCAATTTGACTCATTTCTGTAATGCAGCCACTTCATGGACAGACGGTAGCTGCTTTTACACTACAGAGCAAGGAACATCCTTTTTCTAGGTTATTGCTACTTATCAAACGACTCAGAACGGGTGTCACAGGAGGGCTGATGAGAGACCAAGGGGGTAGCTATGTCCTTTAGGAATTTGTACACACATGGGCCGATCTGGATTTTCTGGCCTTACACAAATTGAAATGGCAATGTTCTGCTCCTTTATTCCATGCTTTCAGGAGATTGTCCTTCACTTGGCTTTTTTTACTCAGAAGCAGGACTGCATTCTAATTAGTTTGCATTTAGAGGCTGCATAATGGTAACGTGATTCCTACTCTAACCTTTATCATCTGTTTCCCATCTTCAAAGCAGCACAATCCTCTTAACTCCTGGGGCACAGGAGCAGTTTTTAGACTTGCTGCTTTGCTGAGTGCAGTATTGAAACAGGAGGAGGCAAAGGTACCATTCTCGCTTGGGGAGGGTGTCACTCTCTTTCTGATACACGTACCTGGGAAGATGCAGGCTACTACCTCTGAGATAGGTTCCCATGTATCGCACAATGGCTGAGTTCATTTAAGGCACACTGATTTGTGCAGGTTTGTCCCCTGCTGTGCAATTGGGTTGAACATTTGCTTGACTCCGGATCAATAGTAGTTTGTTTAGGGATGGCGCAAGGAAAGGGCTGCTAAGACTGTCTGTTGTAGGTGGTTTGAGTTAATGTCAGGTGGTGTTTAGTCTAGATTAATGCACCACATGCTACGGTGATGGGCACACCGGTGCATAAATGCATGCATTAAAATAGATGGGTGTTTTCAAAAGTTCTCACTGGTGCTAACTCTGCTCCCATTGAAACCAATGGTAGAATTCCCAGCGCGTTTCCGAAAACCCCACCCTAAATGTTTTGGATTTCTTTAAATCATAATAAATAACATCTTGTAGCAGTGAGTACCACTGGTTCTATTCCATTCTGTTTGTTTACGTAGCCCCTTTGATCCAAAGGTTAATTGTAGGCTACTATAAAAAGCTTTTCTTCTTACCCATTTTAAATCCGTTGCTTTTGATTTCCACCACGTGCTACTAACTCTGGAATGTCCTGGGGAATATTTCTCTCAGCAGAGCAGGGGGAGTCATCCTGAATCGTTCCTCTAACGTGTTGGCCTCCGAAGAGGAGGGGAGGAGGAACCTCCTTTGAACTCTTCCCTGTGATTCATTTCCAGGCCCTTCCTGTCCCTTCCCACAAGCTGACCTGATCTCCACTCCTTTCTACCTCTGTGTCAGATGCAGGGAAGACCAAGTGACCTTCCAAAATCCTGAGTCAGGGAGTAAATCTCTCCCCCGCAGCTGACTGTCCTGGAGAGACAGGACCCAATTCTCCTTTTACTCCTGGTGGATATACACCAGTGCAATTCTGTTGACTTAAATGTAGTTCTTCCTGATTTACACCAGAAAAGAGGACGTAAGTAAGAGAAAGATCAAGCTCTTAGTAAACATCCTTTTTTTCCCTATGAATCATTTTTACTCCGACCTAGAGACCTTACATATTCTATTCCGGCCTTTTAAAATAAGCGTCCTAGATAGAACCCTCCTTAGATGCTGAACAAGATGTGGGTTGAACAGGAAAATCACCCTGAAGTCTGTAGTAAATTCCATCTGCTCAAACCACCGTGCTAGACTCGGATATAAAGGGGTAGCGAGATGTCCCGCTTCATCCTTTCAAATAACCTCTCTCTCGAAAAGGTTTATTAGGAGGATCTCTTTCAGCAATAATGTCGGGAAGTTTTGTCAGCAGCAGATGATTATAGTAGTAAAATGCACTCCAAACAAAACGAGAGGCTTATTTGTTGGAACACTAGAGTCTCTGCTGCCTTGCTCTGATAATAGAAGAGTGCCAGCTAGATTTTTTTTAAATGTTTTCTTTCTTTCTTTTCAAACTTAACGTGTTGCTTTTTTACTCATTGTTCTGTAGACACCGTTCAGCATTTTACAAAAAAACAAAACAAAAATCCCTTAGGTGTGCGATGATTAAAGTTTTCTAGGTCTGGACGTTTTAAAATCGGAAACATATGTTTAAAATAAATTGTGCTGGCTGAGGGCCACTGCTCTTTATATCCAAAGGGCTGCTGCATTAAAAGGATCCGCAGTGAGCATGAAGAGAAGAGAGTGCACGCTTCAGCGGGTCCTCCTGTCATTCTGATACTGCCAATGCAATTCCTATAGCATGCATTGCCATATACTCTGTGCTGGCTCTAGTCCCTAATGTTAATGTCATAACCCAGCCATTCTCAAACAGGGGTCCACGAGGGTATGCCAGGGGGTCTGTGAGTTATGTCCGCTGATTAACTCCTCCCCCTCCCTCCCCACGCCTCCTGCACACCGCTGAACAGCTGTTCCATGGTGTGCGGAGGTGCTGGGGGAGACGGAGAGGAGCAAGGACAGGGAACGCTCGGGGGGTGGAAAGAGGCGAGGAAGAGGAGGGGCAGGGGTGGAGCAGGGGCTGGAAGAGGTGAGGCGGGGTGGGGCTTTGGGGGAAGGGATGGAGTGGGGGCAGGTTCTGGGGCTGGGCAGGGGGTTGAGCACCCCCAGGGAAAATTAGAAGCTGGCATGGGGGGGTCCGTGAAAAATTTTAAATCAAAATGGGGTCCTCGGGTTGGTAAAGTTTGAGAACTGCTCTCATAACCAATTTCTTGAACAGCCTGGGTGATTTTCTTTGTATTCGCTGTTCATCCATCTCCTAAACTGGGGGTGGAATACACCCCCACCTCACCCCCCGGCGAAGTTAGACAATGCAAGATCCTCTCTACCACTTAGGGCCCAATCCAGCTCCCGCTGACATCTATAGCCAAACTCACACTACACTGAGGATCTGGCCAAGCCCATTGACTTCCATGAGCCCTGAAGTGGGGCCTACACAGGTCAGGAGCAAGGGTCCATTTAATCTTCAGAGCACAATGGGCGCTCGTTAAAAATTCCAGCCTGGGCATGTCTATATTGCACAGTGATTTCCACATCCCAAAGGGGCAGTGGGCTGTGTCTTTTGCACAGCCTCCTTGGTCTGAACACGCAGGAAAGTGAGTGCTGATTCCCACTCTCCAGAGCAGATAGATGTCCCGGCTCCTGCCCCTGGCTCTGCGCCGAACTATCACCACTCTGTTCCTTTTGCCTCCCGCCACCTCTCCCACCCAAAACACACCTGGGAGTTTTGCACTTGACTCTGAAGCAGCCATCATAAGTCTCAGGTGACAGCGAGATCAGATGTCAGATGAGATGGGCCGTTGCTCTGCTGAATTGGGCTGATTCAGATGTGGCTGTACAACATGGGACGGCAAAAAGCAGAAGCAGCATTAACTTTGGGAAGGAACTGAATGAAAGTAACACATCACAATTAGCCACATTTCCTCTTTCTTTTGACACCCGGTGTGTCCTCTCTGGCTTCATAGAAAATTAATATAAAGGCATTTTTGACCCCTTACATTTCCTCACTCTGCAAGAAATGTGACCTAATTAGAGACACTTGTTTGACCAGCATCATCTAATGATATTTTTCCTCTCACTTGCCTTCCCTCTATCTGCAGGACACGAAGGCCAAGATTCCCAAAAGTATCTAAGTGACTTAAGGGCACAAATCCCATTAACTTTCATTGTGATTTATGCTCCTAAGTCAAGCGGGCACTTTGGAAAAGCTCACCTGCAGTGCATCTACAAGGGTTAGTTGAACTAAATGGCTGTTTTCCTGATTTCCCCTTGATATGTTTTGTTCTTTCTTCCCTCTTGGGTCAATGTGTTCAAGACCAAGAGGCAGCAAGAACCTGTGTGCAGAAGGGATCGTTTTGCTGCAAACGTTTGTTTTAAACTTTTGCAATGACCACTGATATTGCTTGCACTTCTCTAGAAATGCCTTTCTAGGACCTGATCCAAAAGCCTGTTGAAGTCAATGGAAAGACTCTCATTAACTCCAATTGCCTTCGCATCAGCTCCCAAATATCCAATTCCACAGCACGTTAGCCTCTCTGATGATGAGCCATTCAGTGAAACTGAAAGGCAAAACATTTAAAACTAATAAAAGGAAACACATTTTTAAAAAAACCACAACAAACTAATTAGGCTGTGGAACTCACTGCCACAAGCTATGAGATCTTTAGCTGAGTCTCTGACCTTAGCAGGATTAATATGAACAAAAAGAACATCCAGAATTATGGGAGTAAACACCTTTAAAAGGTGAGAGTTTTGAACAGAATATAAGCCCTCTTGCTCCAGAGCATAAACCAACCTCTAGCCAATATGAGTAAGGAAGAAACTTTCTCTGTGGGAGGATATTTCACATAAGCATCTGATAAAAATCACTGTCAGAGACTGGATGCTGGACTAGCTATAGAATAGAGCAGTTTTCATCTGTTAGTGTTTCTGTGGCTACCGGATAGTGTCCCAAAGAAGTTATCATGCAATTTATTTTCTTCTCCATTCCCTGTTTTTCTTCTGGTGTTTTAGTTGTATTGTCGTTATCAGCAAAAGAATCATCTAGGTCAGGAATATGGATTTATGGGCCTAACTGGTGGGGAGAAAATCCTGAAATAATTGCATTGCAATGCTTGTTAGACGCTGCTTTACATTGAATAATATTCTTCCTCCTACATAAATTTATAGGATTTTTAACTCTTCCCTTTTTATAGGTGGGTTTCTGAAATCTATTTTATTAGGGGAAAAAGATTTGAGTGTGTTAGGCAAAGTGCCAGTAGCCATGGCAACCTAGGATTTTTCCATCTTCATTACAAGCTCAAGTAAAACCTTCATATAAAATCTAAATGAAAGGGTACATTATAAGTCAATTTTCAAATGTTTGCCTGGAAGTAAAAATTTGGACTGCATCCTTTTTTTCTGCAGAACATTCTGGTTCTACGCAGAAGACATTTTTAAGGTGAGATATTTATTTTATTTATTTTTGCCTTCACATTTTATTCCGTTTTCTCTGCAGAGTGTGTTGTCTAGTTGTTAGACCAAGGTAACTGGACTCCTGGATTCCAGTTCCTGCTCTGACCTGCTGTCTGACCTGGGCAAGCTATTTAATCTCTACACACCTTTGTTCACTTGTCTGTACAATAATGATGACAATAGTTATATATGGTATCTCACAGGGGGGTTGCAATGATCAGCTAATTAGCAAAGTGCTTTGAGATCTTCCAATTAAAGGAGTGATAAGTGTGCTAAGAGCTCCTGGTCTCTTGATTATATTTCCTCCTTCGTCTAAAAATCATACCAAAAGGCTAAGGAAATGTGTGGGTTAGAGAACAGTGTGAAGTGTCTGTTTTCTTTTCAAATAATTGATTATCTGAGAGCCTGAGGAGGAAAAATAAGGCTGTTTGTTTGGTTAAGACACTGATGCAATGTTAGTCTAGTAGAGATTCATTATACATACAAATGTTCAGGTGCCATTTAAATGGATTAATTCCAACATTGTTTCATCTTAAAGTGCTTCCAGTCAAGAGAGGAGACCAATTTGTAGCAGCGCTTCATTTCCAGCCACATGGGCTGGACAACAGGGATCATTTCAAGGAGCTCCTGCTTAGTCATTCACCTCTGAGATATGCTGCTCAGCAGCTTCTCGGGGTTTAAACCAGTATGAGGCATCTCACCTCAGCTCTCTGGCTGCCCCTCCTTGCCTGTTCAAGGCATTCAGGACCATGGGTTTAGGGCGGTGTTTTATCCTCTACTGCAGCTTCCCCGGGGAAAGGCACAGGGTCTCTGTATGTTCAGTGCTCCAAAATGAAATCACAACCAAGCTCAAAGCTGCAGATCCAAACACGCATAGACATACTGTCTCAGACACACCTCAAGGCAGGAGCCTTGCCCGGAAATCACTCTGTATTTATAAAAAGCAACAGAGGGTCCTGTGGCACCTTTAAGACTAACAGAAGTATTGGAGCATAAGCTTTCGTGGGTGAATGCCCACTTCATCAGACGCAAGTAATGAAAATTTCCAGAGGCAGGTATAAATCAGTATGGAGATAACGAGGTTAGTTCAATCAGGGAGGGTGAGGTGCTCTGCTAGCAGTTGAGGTGTGAACACCAAGGGAGGAGAAACTGCTTCTGTAGTTGATAGCCATTCACAGTCTTTGTTTAATCCTGATCTGATGGTGTCAAATTTGCAAATGAACTGCAGTTCAGCAGTTTCTCTTTGGAGTCTGGTCCTGAAGTTTTTTTGCTGTAAGATGGCTACCTTTACATCTGCTATTGTGTGGCCAGGGAGGTTGAAGTGTTCTCCTGTATTTACAGTTTCTGAAGCCTCATGGGTGTGCAAACACTGAGGATGAAACGTGCAAATGGGACTTTCTAACTCGTGCGCATAGTCCTGTTTGCACATACAAAACGGTGGGCTGATTTTCCAAACGTAGCCCTTCATCTGGAAACACATCGGCTCCATCACGTTAGTGTTGTAAGGGCCAAAGCATAAGAGATCGTGCAATGATATACTGGTAGGCCAGATTGGAACCTCACAGCAATGGTGAGAGCACCTGGAGGCATTGTGGGCACTTCCTCCTGGGAATCGTTGTCAGGCAGGAACTGGGCACAATCTGGCCTTTATGCTTTTCTTTGCAGTAAATTTCATCCTTCCTGGTGTTCATGGAAAATATTTTCCAGCTCCGCCATTAGGATGAAAGGAAACCCCACTCCTGTTGTATCTGATTTCCCTTCTGCCCTGTTACGGTTAAAGCTACAACCTGCTGCCTTCTAATATTGTACATTTCGGGGGGGAGACGGATTAAAAATGGCAGGGGGCTCTTTCTTTTTTTTGATACATCCTTCCTTCCGCCCCTCGCAATCAATTAGTGGGCAAAGACTTCCGAAAAGCTCTTTCCTCCCTAACCTTTCACAGACTGTAGCGATAATGACTCTGGAGAGCTCGAGCTGGGCCTTTGCGTGGGGTTTGTTACCCTCCTAGGGCAGTGTCAGGCGACCTCCATCACTTCCTCCTCTTCCTGTCCTACTCCTGCAGCTCAGATAGTCTCAGGAAAGAGGAGGGGGCTGCTGGGGGAAGGGATAATGTTCTCAAATTGGCTTGATGCCACCAGATAATGTTTCCTCTCTGGTGTCATTGCTGCAGTCAGAGGTAAGAGTATGGCTGTAGAGATTATATAGGCCCATTCTTTTTCCTGCTAATAAATAATAATTATGCATACCTGGAGTCAAGAAGCGGGGGAGACAGCTCACTGTTTTTAATTTACATTCTCTTTGTCCCTCTGTCGAGTCAAACCACTTCTCGGAGCCCAACCTCCATACTGCAGCAGCTCCGTCCCCCCCAAAAAACACACGGCTTATAATTATGGTGTTACTTATTTTGCCAGCATTCCATGATTCTCCTTTCTGCCCCTCAGCCTTCTCAGAGAGATAGATACGTCTGTATGTATAGGTGTGGGATCTCACTGTATGCTTTTGCTTGGCACCTGGTCCCCGTTTTACAGCCAGTTTGTTTGTGACGGCTGTATCATGGTTAGGTGATGCTTCAGTCTAAAGTATCAGGGGGTAGCCGTGTTAGTCTGTATCCACAAAAACAACAAGGAGTCCGGTGGCACCTTAAAGACTAACAGATTTATTTGGGCATAAGCTTTCGGGGGTAAAAAACCTGACTTGTTCAGGTGCACTTCTGAAGAAGTGAAGTTTTTTACCCACAAAAGCTTATGCCCAAATAAATCTGTTACTCTTTAAGGTGCCACCGGACTCCTTGTTGTTTCAGTCGAAAGTGTTTCTATTTTGTGGTGCATGCCTCGTGGGTGTGTGCGTGAGAAAGAGAAAGGATCGGGTTCTGGGAAGGATTTCTTAGAAGCAGGCAGGGTTTGTGCAATGCTTCCACACAATGCTGCCAATTGACCCCCAATCCTGGCGGGCATCATCTCCTGCTCCTCCAGCCCGGGGACGCCCACAAAGCTCTGCTCAAGCGCCTCAACCACTTCCCACTCTCCCAGTCCTATGGCTGACACACACACACCTCTGCCAAAGCACCCGAGCCTGGATCTGCAATGACCCCTGCTATTCCAGGGCCGGAGTTGCTCCTGCACAAAGCTTGTCACGGGTGCCATTCCAGTGGTTTACTGACGCAGACCAGTGTCTACTAGGAAGTGACCTCCACGCTCATTTTCGCTTGTGACCTCCTCAGGATGTACTGATTGACTCCCCATTCGCCTTCCCACTATGCCAAAGTTCTACTATTTTAACTACGCACACAGCTCTCCTGGCATATCTGCCTCTCACGTACAGATCTGTGAGAAAAGGAAGCGAACCCATAAATAGCGGCTCACACCATTCTGTGGCTGTTGTGCACAATTCAGCATTTCAGTTGGCAGGGATTCAATTAAACCTACTTTTTTATTTCTCTTCGTGGCGGGGTTCATGCCCTGTGAGTTTTGGTTTGTGGTTTAGGTTCAAACTAAGCCCCCTACCCCAAAAGAAATCCTTCAATGCAGAATTCAGCCTAAACTTCCAGTTTGTGTCCTCTTTTCAAGCAAAAGATGGGGGGGATTCAGCCCCGGGCAGAGAGATCTGGAAGGACACAGACTTTTGATTAACTATTTGGAAACTGAGTCTTACTCTTCTCTCTCTCTCTGTTTAAGCCAACTCCATGACTTCCATTCCAATAAACCATTTCCCTTTGGACAATGTGTCTCCTTGTTCATTTCTCTTTGGTAGCTGTGACAATGTTTCAAAGCTCTCTTGACAGAAGGCAAAGTGGCCTAATCCATGAGAATACTGATTTCTGCCTTTCCCTCCTCCTTTAGAAAGCTACTAAAATTTCCAAATTTCCAAGTTTTGGTTCAGCAAAAGTCACTCACTCTGTCTTAGCTGTGTTTGTGTCTCACCTTTATTTTAGCATCCTCCATCATTCTGATTCCAGAGATTCCATCTTATCAACATAATCGAGAGGCCAAAATTCTCTCAGTCCTAGCTGGGCATTAATAAATACAAGACGAATCCATCCAGGGGCTTAATTCTGCCTAAGACAGAGATAAGGGCTGTTAGTTATTAGATCTTCTTATTAAAGCTTAACTCGGGACAGTGAGTCCTTCACTAAATAGTCTTTAAGTTTCCAGACCCTTTTTTCCTTTTCAAAGCCCCATGAAATCTCATCTCTGACCACTAGAAGGAGAAGAGAAAGTCAAAAGACAAGCGGAGGACACAATTCCCACTCCCCCCACTCCCTCCCTCACCTAAAATCTAATAAAGATGATTAAATTACATGTCTTTTCCTCCCATTGAAATCACCGCACACTGCTCAAATATTAGGACTCAGGAAATAAAGCACGACAACTTCCCTCATGAAACCTTAGAAGGCAGAGCAGGGGGCAAGGGCTACAGGCCTGCAAGACTGGGCTGGTCTAATTAAGAAATCACCCTGCTGAGCAGAACCTAATCTAAATAAAATAGAAAAAGGAACCTAGTTCAAACCTCTGCCTCCCTTCCTTCCCTCCTCCCGCCCCAGCATGCCTGCCCCAGCCCACCTCACCCCCATCCAAAACCCATCCAAGTCACAGTGCGTTTTTCTCCTCTGGAGTTTCTTGGAGGGTAAGGTTGGCTCACACAGAGCTCTGTGTGTGCTTAGGGTGGCCAACTTCCAAAGGAAAAATCCACCAGCCATGTATGGCAGGAGACTGCTGTTTCTTTATTGGCGATTTTTTAAAATGCTACTTGGCCTGCTGTTTGCTAAGAAAAACTCTGGTGTCTCAATTGTTGGTAGGTAGGGCTGGTTGAAACGGTTTTTGGGTGGAAAATCAGGGGTTTCCATTAAATGACATTTTTCACTAAGTGTCCTCTTCCCACTGAAAATTTTGATTCTTTGGAAAAAAAAGAAAAAAAACATTTTTTTTTTAAATTTGACTGAATACCAAAATATTTCTTCCAAACCCTGAAATAGATTGATTCAACTATCCTGCCCAGGTATCTCCTGGGACTTGTAGTCTGGTGTCCTCATGTTCCCATTCCCCTCTATGGACCAGACTCCTCAGTTGGACTACATCGCCCATGTATGCAGTGTAGTTGTAGCTGGGTTGGACCCAGGATATTAGAGAGACAATATCTTTTATTGGACCAACTTCTGTTGGTGAGAGAGAGAAGCTTTCAAGCCACAGACGTTGGTCCAATAAAAGATATTACCTCACCCACCTTGTCTCTCTACATCTCCCATGATTCATCATGGCCAAAGACTCCTAAAATGAAAGTGCTTCCCCTCACTATGGTACATGTAGTCCTTTCAGGGGCACAGGCTATAGAGGAGAATGGGAGCATGAGGCACCCATTTAAGGCCAACTACAACTCCCATGAGACACTGCAGCAGTATTCAAATTGAAGCATCTTGGTTTTTGAGTGACATATTTAGGTTTTTGATTTTTCAGTGAAAAATCAAAATTTTCTGAGGAAAAAAGCCCATTTTCTGACCACCTCTGACTGTTGACAAATTACCTGTATATAGGTTTGAGAAGCCAATGTTTTCAAAAGTGACTAGTGACTTTAGGTGCCCAATTTGAACTGCTGTCAAGGGGCCTGATTTTTACCAGGAACATGCTGAGCACCTTTTGAAAATCAGGCACATTTAAAGGGTCTCAAACCGGGCACTCAAAATCACTGGTTACTTTTGTAAAGCCTGGCCCAAAGCAACTTGGAAAATCCATGGGAGATGGATTTGAGCCTTCCTCCCCCACCACCACCGCACGAAAAATTTTTACAAAATTTAAATTTAAAAATTTTAGGGTTGGGAGTTGTTTTTTTCTGCTTCTTAATTATATTAGAAGGATCAGGAAGGTCAAGTACGGCCGTCCCTGTTTTTGTTGGAGCACTTATGGGAGGTCTCAGATGCAGACTGAGGTATCTCAAACCCTTAAGTGAAGTGGTGGTGGCAACACATCTTTAACAGGTATTTTCTTCCAACTGTTTTCAAGGTGTTTCAGTAAAATGGCTGTTAATAAAATGGGGCAAGAATATGTGAGTGCTGGACTGACTTGGGCTATGCCTGAACCTACAGTTACTCCCATGCCAAAGACCCTGATACTGTAACTTGTATCTATACCTACACTCTAGGTATATACACACCCCATTGTATTTTTTTAAAACATACTTGGCTGATTAAGAGGGAAATTGTTGCAATTTGAGGGAAACACGGCCAGACCTGAAAAGCAGAGCAAACAACATATATTTTTACTTATTAATAATTCCTGACAGATTATTTTTAAAGGTGATTTTGCCTTCAGTGGAGCTAGGCCAATTAATACCAGCTGAGGACTGCTGGGGGGGCTTTTACAGACATAATTAGAGATCCTACCATCCCTGAGAAGTTTGCATCCGCATCCATACACTACAGTTTTGGCCCACATCAGTGGGTAACGCAGGAGTCAGGATGACAGACAAATCTATAATCCAGAAAACTCCCTTTCTCCCTCCCAGCCACAATCTGCTAAAAGATGATTCTAGTAATCTATAGGACACTGCCAAGTTCCTAAAGATTCCTTGCCACTGATGTGGCCCAAAAGGACCAGCCTGACTCTTGTTATCTCTCTTTATTAATAATTATTAATTATTATTATTATTACCTAATTAGGTTGTCATTCAAAGAATATAACAGACTCCCCAGTTACTCACAGATGAGAGAGCTGCAGAAGGGCAGACGTGTCCACAAGATTGGGATGTCAGCACGAGTTCATTACCCTGCCTGAGTCGGATATTACATCTGTGATCGTGATGAAACAGAAGCAGACAAAATCTCAGGGGAATGGGAACGTCACACGCAGCATTTCCAGGCTGAAGCCTAAAAGAGATGTCATCGTAACTTCAGAACCAAACCTTCAGAGCCTGGGGCTCTCACCAGACTGATTTTCACACTGTGGGACTCTACTGTCACAGATTATATTAAGTGGAGAGAAAGGCGAAGAATCTACTTTGACTGACAGGATCGCCTGAAATAATAAGATGGACAAAGCCCACCTCATCACACCCCACCCTGGCCTCTAGACACACACACACACACACACCCCACTTGCTCTCCCAAATACCCTTTGTAACCTTATACTTGCTCCTAAGCTCCCCAAAGAGCAGAGCAACACACTCCCAGACTGACTGCCGTTTCATTTTCTTCTGAAACAGTAAAACCGTTTCACTATAACTTGGCTAAAGCATTAACACTCTGGTTTCAGTTTCTTTTATGATAGCCTAGGGCAACTGCCAATTAGGGTCCCCCCTAGCCACCCCTGCCCCCTCAGTAGCAACTCCCTGAACTGTCTCAGAGTGCAACCCAGACACATAACTCTCCTGTTCTCTGATGAAAAAAATCTAAAATAATAATAAACACACCATAGAAAAGATTATTGGAGTTATTTGCCAACAGAAAATGGCAACGAGCCAATCTCTGTTCTCAAGTCCACCCTCCTCACCCAGCAGCACCACCCTTCCCCAAGCCGTTTCAACCACCATCATTTCTTAAAGTGAAATACACATGATTTTGCACATTACAGGAATCGTCATAATACGGTTGTTTCAGGCTACCGTGTTTGCTCTTAAATGTTTTCAGTTGCAGACAGGAAGGATGTCTGAGGGGATAAGGTCTTCTGAGTCCAAGTCCATTGCCCTATCATCAATTCCGGCCTCAGCCAGACACTTCCTTTATGACCTTGGACAAGTCATAGTGACTGATCCTGTGCCTCAGTTTCCCATCTGTAAAATAAGGATGCTACATTTTTACCTCACAGGGGTATGTGACGATGAAATCCATTATCGACTGTAAGGTGCTCACATACTATAGTGATGAGGGTCATACATGGACCTAGACAGATACATAAAACCTACCAAATTGTTTACTATTCTTATCTCCCCAGCGTGAAGGTGCTGAATCTTGTAAGTGCCAGCAATCAGTGAAAGCCAGGCAGAATGCATTGGATGCAGCTGACAACTGCATTATCCACTGGCATTTGCATGAGATATTATCATTTATCATCTGTGTAGTGCATGAGCAATGGTAGTGCATTATAATCAGTGAACAGCGCCAAACATATAACATGTTCCTGCCCTGAAGAGCTTAAAATATATTTTAAATATGAGCACAAGGACAGAATACTGCTTGGCTTTCCACACACACAGTGTTCAATCAGATACCATGTTAGAATAAGGGGGAAACATCCTTTTCAATATCTTCTGATTGGTTTTTAGTACAGCTGCTTGGAACATTCCCCCCCAAACATTTTTTTTCAATGATAAAACTATATTATTCCCCCAACTCTATTTTTTCACTACCAAAGTTTTCTCCATTTTGTTGCTCGGAACAGCCGTTTTAGAGAGGCTCTCGCTTTTCAATGTGTTGCATGCCCAGGAGATTTGAATCACTATAACTTATATCACTATTGCACATGTGATTCCCTACACACTTTCTCTCTGTTGCAGGGACTCCAGAGTCTTTTGTAATCAAATCATTAATTAATGAAGCCTTTCATCATTATCCCATACTCAGTATTATCCTTATACCTGAGGGGAAACTGAGACAGAAAGGAAAGTTAAGTGACTTGCCCAGTTAAAACTGAACAGCAAGCCTGTTGCATAGACAGGAATAGAACCTGGGTATTTTGTCTCTGAGTGCTGTGCTTTAACCACTAGGCAATGCTTGCATATATGGGCATATTAACCCCTTTATTTCTCATATGGTGGCATATATTCCCAACCATTATAAACTGACTTCATACTGCTCTGATGGACAACACTAAGCTCCACTTATGTCACTGACATCATTTACATAGTAAGTAATACTCTTCTAAGGAAGAAAAAAGAGACGGGAAAGACAAGAAGAAAAGCTAAAAAGAAAAGAATAAAACTGGTGAAACAAAAACAAAGCGGTGGTGTGGATGGCTCATGAAATTTGTTGCCACTTGAAGACTCAATACACTCTCACTCAGAAACATATACACGCACACAAATCTGTACATCAAACCACTAGAATAAACAGACAGATTCCATCTATGAACAACACAAACATTAGCATCTGAAGAAGTGGGTTTTTTACCCATGAAAGCTTATGCCCAAATAAATCTGTTAGTCTTTAAGGTGCCACCGGACTCCTTGTTGTTTTTTACAAACATTAGAATAGATCACTATATGAATGCTAGAGAGAGAGAGGGAGAGAGAGAATATTTATTCCCTCATATGCATATATATATGTAAATATCACACACACACACACACACATATATATACATGTTGTGCATTATCCACACAGATAATACTTTGCTCATCTCTTTCATGAGCTTACTGAATCTTAGCCAGGCTTCTAGAAATGAGTCAAAATGTTAAGAGAAAATGGAGAGGGGGAATAAAACCCACTAAGGACATGAAAGCATAGGGTAATAACCTGGGAAACACTCAGCCCAATAAACACAGTGTTTGGCCAATCGCGTCGGGCATGGATGTGCAGAAAAAAAGGTGGATCCTGGGTCCTTTGTTGCTAAGGGCGCTTGAGGCTAATTATTCTCCTTACCTTCCAGTTCTTTAAGCCCTCCCGATACCAGCAGATGTCCTGATTTGATTCCCATTTCACCGATCCTGAAGCAAATTGATGGGGGCAGAGGGCAATGGAAGAGGCTCTTGATAGTTTGACACTCTAGATCCAGGCCGGAAAGAGAAGAAAGGAATTTATTATTACACATTTTAAACATGGAGCCACCCCAAATTTTCATACCAGTTATTTTCATGCTCTTCAATAAATGGTAGTTTGGTACCTGGACGTCATCTGCAAGTGAGCGGCAATGTAATCTCTCTGGAATAGCAGGATACCATCACATGGATCATTTTCTCTGTCTTTCAAAGGCAGACTCAACTGAAGCCATCTGACTGCAGCTGCTGAATTCAGACCCGGCATCACCATCCACCGAGAGAGCCAGACACGTGTTGCAGCTAGGTGCATGAACAGCAATTGCACGTTTTCCACTGGGCAGCTTCTTAACTAGCTCATGGAGCCCACATGACTTAAGATATTTAGGACAAGGACACGTTATCAAAATCCCAGCTCTCAAAGAAAGTGCCAGCTTTACCACCCCACCCCACCCCCCATTGCGCTGTCCGACACCGCGTTTACAGTTTGTTTTCTGGTCTGGAAAACACAAAGCTCTGCTAACACTGCAGAGGGAGAAGTACCACCGAGCCAAGAGAGTGGGACCAGGTCCCCAGCCAGCCTCCCATGTTGCAAGCAGCGACAACGATCGGTGAGCAGGTCTGGTTGCTGCTGCCAGCAATGAAATGAGGCTGTAGTGTCCACCACTCTGGTCTTTTATAGGGCTTCGTTTATTAGCCGGGTGCCCCTATTTCATAAGGCAGCGTTAGCTAGACTGTGCACGCAGGAATGATGAAGATGATGACTATTAGCAGGAGCCCAAGGACACCTTTTCTTAAGCCTCATTCATAGCGGCCGACATGGTAAAACAGCCCAGCAATTGTTCTCTCAAATGTCACATTTCTGTGTAGGCCACTGTGCAGATAAAATGCTGCTCTCGTTGGGGCTTTTTTCCTTCCCTCCCACCCCCCTTTTAAAAAAAAAATAACTGTGCTATCCTTTAACTATCGCCAGAGAAATTCAACCGACCAGGGACTTTTTCATCTTTTAGGCCCGCCCGCCCCCCTCATCCTTTATTTTCTTCCCCTCCCTTCTTCACGTCGCTTGAACAATCTGGCTCTGTTCTGGGCACATTCTTGCGGCCTATTCTTTGGGTTGCTCATGCAGGGTTCACTCTTAGTGGACGGGGGGTGGGGGGGAGGGCAAAACAAGGTCTGCATTCAGGTAGGGGAGGGCAGGAAGGCAAATCTAATGTAGTGGGGAATTGTTGTGCCATCAGCTTAATACCTGAGCAGAGGAAACAAAGAACCTTTAGAGAACTTGCTTCTAGGCGGTGACCTCCTCCTCTCCCCCCGAAGGAACTCAAAAAGATAACAAGGACTGAAAGAAACGGCACCAATATAATTAAAGCTATCCAAGCAATTTCTGGGGGTATTAGATATGATGACAGAGAACCAAGCCGTTAATAGTATTCCTGGTATTATTAACATCCACCAGCATGAAGGGACAAGTGGTTTTTTTAAAACTCCTCGTCAAAATTATTCCTCTGGGGAGTGACTCAAAGCAGACGCTCCCAGACCAGGTAGAGCACATGGTCATTCCTGGAATGATCCTATATATATAGTCAGCAGGGTGTTTAGTGACTGCAGAGCTGGGGTATTTTCCAGTTCACACAGGTGGTAAATCAGGGGCCTAGTGATGGGAAAGCGTTTGACCTTGATGAGTTTGATCAATAGAGTTTGACCAAGACTCAGCTAGAAAGAGGCTGAAAGTCGCTGCTGTCTGACAGCTGTTTGATGGATTGTGGGAGATGATTTGATGAGGAGGAACTCAGTCCAGTTCTCAGTGTGCACGTATCTATCATTTAAGCCAGCTCATTTGCTGGTAGAGTCAGCAGAGAGGGATTGAATGGACCTTGGAGATAATGTCCATCTAGCAAGCCTAGGGATGCTAGAATAATTTTGGGGCAGCTGGGCCTATTTCAGTGGCCTGCTCATCTCATCATTACATCTAGATGGCCCTGGACCACATTTGTGGACATAGCAGTAGGACGCTTTATCAACACCTCATAGCTAACGTGAAGTGCCCCTGGTGTGGAAATGGGAGAGGAATACGAGCCAAGAATACAATAAAGAATGGAAAAACATACAGTAGTTCAGTTCTAAAAAAGGCTGGATACTTACATTAACCATAACAACATTTGCAGTTATACAGGTTAAAATGAAGATACTTAAATGTCATGCTCCAGGGCACAAACTGATTCCCACAAGGGTCAGGAAGGTATTTCCCCATAAGTACAGCATTGCTCAACTGGCTAGGTAGATTACAGGAGAGAGGAAGGGTCACTTTCCTGTGAAATATGAGGTACTGTCCTCTACCAGTCACAAAACGTAAGACTGGCTAGATCATCGTTCTGCTTGCGGGTGGTAAATAAGCACCCAGAGGCTGATCCAAAACCCATTGAAATTACTGGGAGTCTTTCCATTGACATCACTGGGTATTGAGATCAGTAGGGTTGCAATCTCTGCACAATATGTATGGTAGTCCCTGTGGGCTCCCTTATGCTATAGCCCTGGGTCTCCAAGGCTGTGACATGCAATGTGGACTTTGAATGAAAAACATTAATAACATTAACTTCTCTGGGAGTTTCATCCCCAGTGGTATCATGTCAGTCTGAAGCGATTCAAGCCAGGGCAGGATGGCTTTGGAACAAGGCTAAATGGGTGTGAGAGATTAACTACCTGGCCTATCCTTTTGTTCAAGTGAAAGGACTTCAAACTCCCGGCTAATAAAGTCCAGAATCAAGCCATTCATCACTTTATTAATCAGTCTCCTCCTCAGTCCAATTTAATTTCAGACCAATACGTTTCAAGCTAGCAGCATAACTCTCTCCCACCTCTGTTCTAGGTGTCAATCCCCACTACCTTCCCCAAGGTTCTCTAATGAAGAGATCCCATTGGATTCCATACAATTATAACAGGGTAGACACCAAAGCCTTCTATCTTCCTCACTATCTGAGCACTGCCTGTGCTCCTGGTTCAAACCCTCTTTCCTGTGTGCTGCCAAAAGCATTATAAGCTTTTTCCATAGGGCCTCCCCTTCGTTTTTGGGCC